ATAGCTCACTGCAACCTCAAAATCCTGGGCTTGAACAATCATCCTGCCTCAGTCTCCCAAGTAGCTGGGATTATATGCAAGGGTCACCACACCTGGCTAAATTTTCTATTTTTTGTAGAGTCAGGGTCTATGTTGTCCATGCTGGTCTTGAATTCCTGGACTCCAACAATCTTCTCATCTCAGCCTCCCAAGTAGCCACAACTACAGGCATGCACCACCATGCCTGGCACGTATTATTTTTTATTGGTTTCTGTTTTCAGAAATTTTCTATCTATGGTGGTTTGAACCCAAAGAGGCAGCAATGACAGGGCATGAGAGCCAACTGTACGTATCTAAGCACATCAATAGAGGAGCTCAATATTTACTTGATAATTAACAAACTAAGAGGACAAAATATTATTATAAGATCCTAGGTTACAGGCTAACCATAAGAAGCTAAAAATTCAGGCTCAAAAATATATATATATTCTGTGACTAAGTCATGGGAAGTAATGGTGAGGAAAACCTTCACTGGGAAAACCAGTGAACAGGAACTGCACTAAAAGTTAACAACTAGTAACTCATAAGCACAAGAAACCAAACATTCCTCCAGCAATTCAGCCAAGTCAGCTTCACATATAATTAACAAAAGAATTAGTTCAACCACCCTTATCATCAGAAAATAGTACCAGGAGAGAGAATTAAGACCCCCTGAAGAACACTAAGCCACATGGACTGCAAGGATGTCAAGAAATTTCCCCTGCCTTGAGACTAAGACTTCCCAGGTCCACAGGGGCTATTTTCAAGCAAATCTACTTACCTTTCTCACTCGAATTAACTCAAAAGTTGTAAGAAATTCAAATTCTATACCATGAAAAATAAAACACACAAAAAAATAAGAACTCTGCAAAGTGGTAACAGGGCAGAAGGATGGTCGCACCCCTTCACCCTCCCCAGTGCCCATTCACAGGTAAAGTGGTTGTGACTGACCTGATCTGCATCTGCATGAACTCCAGGAGACTGAGCAGATGGTACCTCCTGCTGGACTGCAGCCACTGCCCCATTGGGCATCAGAATGAGTTGGGAGGCTAGAGGCACATTCCGGCCCAGGGTTCGGTTTACCTGCAATAGGTTTCCCAGCTGTGGCTGGCAAGGAGAGGAGGAAGAAGAAGAGCAAAGAGGACAAAAGGAAACAAAGAGACAGAAAAAATGGAAGAAAAGGACCACAAGACAAAATAAACAGAAGATATTAAACAGCCAAGCCCTTCCCCTTTCCACACCAACCCAGGAGCCTCTTAGTCTCCACATGCGGTGAATCAAAAACCTAGAACATGCAGAAGACTATAGACTGATAACAATGAGTCAAACATCAAAGCTGAGAAAATGAGGATTTTAGAACAATTATTTATAGATAGTAAGTAAGTAGGCCGAGAGATGACACTTAGAATGTGTGTAATGGAGCCACAGATTTCAAGGTTGACTATATCTAACACTAATTTAGTCAAATACTAAGGCAAAAACTTCTAGTTCAGAATCTCAATGTTATCAGCAGGCTACCCGTGAATACTGAGCATCACTTCCAGGATAAGCAAGACATAGGAAATAAATCACCCTACCTCAAAACATCTGGCTAACCATAGGTAAATAAAACAGCTTTCACTCAAATCCTTGCCAGGGACAATTATGCCCCTAGGACAATGATGACTGTGTCTGTAGCTTACCCGTAGATACATCTGGGCCTGGGACTGGTTGAGGGGTGGAGAGGTGGTGTTCCCCAGTAGCACAGATTGGGTCAAGGTAGTGGCACTGGGAGAGCTCACACTCTGGGATCGGCTGATGAGCTGGGCGGCCGACGTAGTGGCCAGATTGATCTGTGTGGTACAAAAAGGAACCAGCACTAAGGATTTGGGAGAGATTAAAGGAAAGGTATATGACTGACAAATTCAGAGGGACAGAGTCAAGAACTTTCACAGAGTTAGGGGGAAAAGAATAATAATTTCCTATCCAAAACCGTCATCCTGACTACTTAGCAAAGTAAAAAAAAAAAAACCCTAACCACCAGTGTTAACAGTTTAACAGTTGAGACAACACAAGAATGAAATTGAAAAGATTTTCTCATCAAAAAGTCCAGAGATGAGTCCCGTTCTTTGTCACCTCCTCTTTTTCCCCAGGATTTCCTTCCTGCTGTCTTAGGATTGCTCATTAAAGATTCCTACATAGATGCATGTTGTAGGGTTCAGTTTACCTGCAATAGGTTTCCCAGCTGTGGAAACCTTTCCCTTTTACTATATTCTCTGTATCAGAGCAGTGGATATTCCCCAAATATCCACTGATGGCTCAATAAACACTTTCATATCCATGGCACAAAGTAGTCTGTCCTAGGTCAAAGACCCTGGCAGAGAAGCCTCTTGGTGGGAGGTGGTACTCACAGAGGCCTGGGTACTGGCAGGCTGCTGCTGGCTAGTGCTGGTGTTTGGGGAGCTGGCCTGCCGACTGGCAGCAATTGTAGCCTGTTAAAAAGGAAAGGAAACGAGAAAAAGCAGAGACAATGAAGGAAAAAGCTCTCGGACTTCTAATAGTAAATCATGGACAAAAATTTTACAGAAATTTCAGGTTAAGAACAAAGAGATTCTAGTCTGAGATAAGGGAAAGTATATTCATTATCCCAAATAATCCGCCAGTTAGATAGGCAACCTACCCCCCTGTTCCAACTTTCTTTTTTTTTTTTGAGACAGAGCCTCAAGCTGTCCCACTGGGTAGAGTGCCGTGGCATTACAGCTCACAGCAACCTCCAACTCCTGGGCTCAAGTAAGTCTCCTGCCTCAGCCTCCCAAGTAGCTGGGACCACA